TCTCCAGCACCAGAGTTTAAAGGCCTCCATTCTTTGTCGCTCAGCCTTTCTTGTGGTCCAAACTTCACAGCCATCCATTGCAACTGGGAAAACCAGAGCCTTGACTAGACGCACTTTTGTTGGCAAGGGGAGGTCTCTGCTTTTTAATATGCTGTCTAGATTTGCCATAGCTTTCCTCCCCAGGAGCAAGAATCTTTTAATTTCTTGGCTGCAGTCTCCATCTGCGGTGATCTTGGAGCCCAGGAAAATGAAATCTGGCACTACCTCCATTTCTTTCCCATTGATTTGCCAGAACCGGATGCCGTAATCTTAGTTTTCTTAATGTTGAGGAAGAAATGGTAGAATACAATCATTAAAGAAAGGATGCCAAAGAAGGGGCAAAAAATATGGAAATGATAAAAATTTGAATAATTACATTGAGTTGGTTGAATTCTCGCGTGGTGAGCTGGCCATAGCTAGTTGTCCCTTGGCGACTTGGCCGGGGCAAAGAGTCCATGGTGAGTTATCCCATTCTGCCTTTCATGTAGTCCAGACAAAAGCACCAACCACGAGTTTATTTTATTAATGTTATAGGGTCCCCAACTTGAGCAGAGGGTTGGACTAGAAGACCTCCAAGGTCCCTTCCAACTCTGTTATTCTGTGATTTATATAAGATTATAGTTCCAGGACCATAAATAGAATTTCTTACAATAGCAGGCATAGTTATTAAAAAAAAAAAAGCTTTACAATACAGATATTTTTCCCCATTTTGCTGATCGGCTTTTCCATCATAGTTTTCTCATGTTTCTTTCCTTTTTTTTAACAGAAAGCTGTCCTGATTGACCACGGAATTCGACGTCTAACTTTTCTGGTGGCCCAAAAGGTATTTATTTAAGACGTCTTGATCTCCTTCAGTTGCCATTTTTCTGTTTCGGTAGCTTGCCTGGCAAATCAGACTGATTTTTAATGGAAGAAAGAAAGAAAAATCAAATCATGTTCACCGCTGATTTTGTTTTATTTGTCTCTCAAGCTATGCAGCGCACGAATAATGTGATTTTTCGTTCTGTACTCTGAAGAAAATTAATTGAGAATTGAAAACGATGACCATATTGTACGGCTTGTGATTTTTTTCTCTCTTAATTCATTTCTAATTTATGGACTAATTGCTAGTTTTGTTTTGCCTCTCTCCCTCCTTTGATTCTTCGTGCCTCTGCATCTTACATTTTGGCTTGCAAGGATTTCAGAAAACAAATCAACTATGAGGTGGACCAAAGATTTCATGTAAGTAGAAATATTGTTTGTGCTCAAAACGGGAAAAAAAATCTTTGATTTAGGCTTTAGTTAGCTTAATCTTCTTGTTGTGGAAATAGCTAGTACTTGCTAAATAGGTAAAGCAAAGAAAATTGAAGTTCTAATGTGTTTTATATTCTACTGCACCAAAAATAAATGAGGGAAGTCACTGCTTTTATTTTTATTTCTTTTATCTTGCACCATTTTTTTTAACCTTTCGCTATTCCCTTATGATCTTTATTTCTATTTTTATTTTATATGTTACTAGCTGAAAACCTGGTGTTGTCTGGGTATTTATTTATCCTAATCCAGATAGGAAAAGCCCTGACGTTGTTGAAAATGCCCGGTGCTAATGTTGGATTTTTCCCCTTACCAGAGGGAAAGCCCCCTTGTGGAGTACTGTGAAGCTGTTACCATGGCAACTCCACTGCACTGTACAATAGAAGCCATTTTACAGCAGTACGGTAGAAGCCATTTAAAGGCACAACAAGCTGTATCTTAACAGAACACACACACCGAGTGGTGTTAAAGGTGTCTCCCCACCCCCGCTCCCCAGTATTTTTCTCCAGAGAGTAGGTCATCTGTATACCAAGTTTGGTTGAAATTTCTTGAGGCATTCAAGAGTTATTCTAGAACGAACACACACACACACACACAAACACACACACACACACGTACAGTCATTGATATAGATAGATAGATAGATAGATAGAGAGATAGATAGAGAGATAGAGAGATAGAGAGATAGATAGAGAGAT